AAGAACAAATACTCTCCAAGTTTTCACATCAAGTACTACCAAAGACAATATTTGGCAATCCCAGTAACACCAGAGCTAAATCACGTATATTATTGTAGTTCTAAACAATAAATTATCCAAAGGAGGACAAAAAAAGAATGTCTCTAAATACGGCAAACCCACATACTGAAAAGCATTCGCATAAACATTTCTGGAGGGAGGGTCTCCATGAATATGTCATTGCTTTGCTGAAATGTTCCACCGCATTAATAAATAGAACTACATAGACCATGATCCTTTCTGGTTTCAGTGTAGGCAACGTGATATAGACCAGAGCTGGGAACATGCGAGTCGTGACTTGTACTAGTCAGGTTTCAGTTACTAATTTTTAGAACTTGAGACTTGACTTGATTAAAGAGACTAAGACTTGGGACTGGACTTGGACTTGAGAGCTGTGACTTGAGAATCTCTTTTAAATCAGAATTTTTTCTATTCTCACTGTAATGATTCACTCTAAGATCTTGTCAAGACATTTAAAAAGGAAACATATGCATTTCTACAACTCTTAAATAAATACTCATATATAAATATACTATGACTTGATAAGTACAGTTTAGTTACAGTTTAATCTAAGCTATATTCGGTACTTTGGTTGACTTGGACTTATGGGTCAGTGACTCGAGACTTGACTTGGACTTGCCTGTACTTGTCTTGGGACTTGACTCAGACTTGAGGTCAAAGAAGCATCGCTGTGAAAGGAATTAACTTATGGAATAGTCTTTACAAAGAAATAAAAGAATCAAGTACAATGATGACATTTAAACAAAAATATAAAATCAAATGCAGTGTGTATGTATGAAAAAGAAAACTAAGTTGTTGTGCATAATAGTGAAGATTACTGTTTGCAATTGATCAGTAATTATGCCTGAACTGATCTGGAATGTTTAGTGACCATCGGTGTTGATGTATTGTCTTGAAAAAGGAAAGGGGGACAGATAACATAAGATTTTTTCTTCTTTCTGCTCCTTTTCATTCATTTCTTGTGTGTCTGATGTTGTGACACTGTCGATGTCTTTGTATGCTTTATGAAATAAATAAATTAAATTAAAAAAAAGACTTGAGACTTACTTGAGACTTGCAAAACCACCACCCACCTTTGATATAGACAAATTGTTTTTTTTACAATTACTGTACAATTACTTTTATAATTACCTTTTCAAACTGAATCCTTTTGATCAATGCATTTTCTAAACATAATTGTGTCAGAACAAACCATGTACCATTGCGTTTTAAAGGGAAAAAGCTGCATTTTATAATTCTGTGAGCATCTCTACAGTGCTGAATTGTAGCGTGAATATTGTTACAGCATCATATGGCCTTGGATAAGACTTTGAACACTGTCACATGATCCCGGCTTAATGTGTGCTACTTTTGGCACAATCAACAAAACATTTCCAGTCTAAACAAGTCTGAGTGCTCGAGTTTGTCTTCTGTCCGAGTCAGGGCTGTTTGGTATTTTGTGGGTCACTGCATTCCCATAAGCATAGAAACAAGCAGAGGCTTCTAAACCAGCAGAAAGAGAGGAGGAGAGGAGAGGAGAGGGAGCAAAGAGGAAAAGGAGAGAGGAGGGGGACCAGAAAGGAGAGGAAGGAGAGATAAGAGGCAGAGAAGAGAAGAGAGAGAGGAGAGAGGAGAAGGAGAGAGAGAAGAAGCAGAGAAAACAGGGAAAGGAAAGGAGAAGGAGCGGGGAGAGGAGAGGGAGCAGAGAAGATGGGAGAAAGAGAGCAGAGAAGAGAGGGAGCACAAAGAAAAGAAGAGAGAGGAGAGGTAGCATGAGGAAAGGGAGAGGAGAAAGGAAAGTGACCAGAAAGAGGAGAGGGAGCAAAGAGAAGAGAGGACAGAGCAGATAAGAGAGGCAGTACAGAGGAGAGAGAAGAAAGGAAACAGAGAGAAGAGGAGAGAAAACAGGGAAAGGAAAGGAGAAGGAGCAGAGAAGATGGGAGAAAGAGAGCAGAGAAGAGAGGGAGCACAAAGAAAAGAAGAGAGAGGAGAGGTAGCATGAGGAAAGGGAGAGGAGAAAGGAGAGTGACCAGAAAGAGGAGAGGGAGCAGAGAGAAGAGAGGACAGAGCAGATAAGAGAGGGAGTACAGAGGAGAGAGAAGAAAGGAAACAGAGAGAAGAGGAGAGAACGGAGGAGAGGAAGCAGAAAGGCGAAGGAGAGGGAGCAGAGGGGAGAGGAGCCAGAGAGGATGGGCAAGAGTTCATCTTGATAAATCTGGGCAGATGGTCCACGCCTCAAACTCTCCACTGAAAACTCCACAAGTTTTTCAAGAAGGTCACCAAAGTTTAAGTGTCTCTCCAGCACTGGGTCCTTGGAGAGTGACCTGGCATTCAGTCGAGTCATCGCAAAGTGAGGGTTTTAAAAATGGCAGTCTATATTTCTGAAGGTCCGGGTTTTATTATCGGCTCTTCTGCCAGCATTGATAATATTTATTGGTCCATTATCAACACACTTTAAACTACTTAGTTTCATCGAAATTATGCCTTCATTGTAAGCTTTGCCTTTTCCCTTTTATTGTCAGTTTTGTCCGGTCTTGGTTAAATTTCTAGTTTGACTTATAGCTGCAGTACTCAACTTTATTTTTGTAATGAGTAGAGTTGTTAAAACAGCACTTTGTGATAAAATGAGACAGCTGTGCTCTGTCTGCTGTCTGTCTGGCATCTAATTATAATAAAAGAATGTATCTATCATAAACCTGGAAGTAAGAGCCCTAAGCAATATGAGGAGAGCGCTACTATAGAGAGACTGAAATACAAATTTGCAGTTTTAAAATTGGGTAATCCACCTTTAACCCTTCCAGACTGATGGTATCAGGCGGACATGTTTTACATAACTCTGCATAACTTTCCAACCATAAAAGATAGAAACTTATTATTTTTTTCCTTGAAAAGCTGAGAGTTGCGGCTTTCCGGCATTATCCTACATCACACGCCGTGTGATGACGTAGTGAAACCGAGTGTCTAATAGGAACTTTGTTTTCAGGCAAATGCACGCACTCCATCCATTTTGATTGGCTCAAACTTTGCCAAAGAGTGTAGTAAGTCAAAATGGTTTAATGCTCTGAGCATTTATGTTGGTAACAATTGAAAAAGCTGCTCTAAGTGCAGTTATTTATCAAATAAATGGCAAATTACGCATTTTGGTCTGTGTAAACGTGCATCCCTTGCTGTTTTTATTTGAAAGGTTTATTTCAGTCAAAATGTACAAATACATATGTAATATACACCATGGAAATGCATGGAATGAGCAATTGCCCTTTTGTATTGTTTTGAGGACAATAAGGATATTTTTTAATTTACAGACTTGATATTTTGCAGTTTTGTAGCTAAGGGTCTAAAGTAAGCATTTTTTAATGTCCAAAAAGTTGTTTATACATGTTTACTGTGTGTTTTGAGTGTAAGTTTTATGTTTTTGGTAGAGGTAACAACATAACATAACATGGCTTAAAGCTCACAAGAGGCAATTTTGCATAATATAGAAACTTTAAATGTTTTTCTGTCAATAGAATATTAAAAATGTTACACCATATTTATTGGTTTTAGTTCTTAGATTGCAAATAACAAACAAAAACATGCTGAATTTCAGTCTCACACAAGGGGAATATAAGGCTGGAAAATAAACACATATTTTGACATTTAAAGTGCAATAGCGTTTTTCCATCTATCCCTGCGCCTTCTTCAAACACAGAACAACAAAAACAAATCTTTCTTAACGATGCACTGTGTAACTTTTCTGGTCGAGGATCCGTCAAATTTTTTTTCTCTATGGAGATGTTATTGCTTTGTTTGGAATGTTTCACAGTATGGCATTAAACCTTTCTATCTTCAATTTCTATCTACCTTTCTATCTGCATTTCTGAGCTATAAACTCACATGTAATTGAATAAATGTAAGTTAGAGCTGTTTAATGCCATACTGTGGAACATTTTAGGGAGAGCAGTGACATATCCATAGAAACAAGTAGGTGACGGACCCCCAACAAAAACTTACATCGTCCACCTTTAACTTACTAAAATATCAGATACACAAATCTCAATACGCCAGCGTAACTAACCCCGTAACTACGTTTTTACACATCTGTGAGACAAATTAGCATTTCTGATAACCCACAATGCACCAGCGTGTCTCCTCTATTCTCCTCTCCTGACCCTGTATTCTGCTGAGTGCTCAGGGTCAAGTGTCTATGGACATTATAAACCCATAAAAGAACCAGGGCCATAACCTTTGTGCTGCTGATTTGATCCTTTGTTAGACTGTTTTAAAAGACACAGCCTCACCACCTGCCTATGAATATGAGCTGTAGGAGAGGACGAAAGAATATGGGTGTTTTGCAGTTAAAAATTATTGTATTGCTAATAGAAAATGGATACTAATACTAATTGATACCAAAACTAGAAGACAACAGTGGTATTAAAGGTCTCATATTGCACACAATGGATTCTTGTGAGCTATAAGTCATGTTATAATGTTGTCATCTTATCAAAAACATACCTGGAGTTGTCTTTCTCATTCACACATGTTTGAGTAATCCTTTATGATTAGTCTGTCTACATCTCTAAAGCTCAAAATGCTCTTTTCCATCTTGTGATATCACATAGAGGTAGTTTTCAGGTTAAGAGCTACCTTTTACCTTTAGAGTAGAGACTGGCATTTCCTGGGTTGAAATCACCCAAATGATTCTAGTGAAGGTGTATGGAGTTCAAAAACACAGTGGAGCACTTCCTGTATTATCACATGACATCACAAGGTGGAACAGAGTGCGTTAAACATGTGTGAATGAAACAAAACACAACTCCAGGTATGTTTTTGAAGAGAAAACAACATTATAACATAGTTCAGAAAATGTGAAAGTGATTTGAACTGTAATTTTCAAATCAAAATTGAAAAATGTCTTGAGAAATCTTGAGATATGCGTTTCTGATTGCAAAATGTAAAATGTGCTAAAATATAATCAAACATACCTTTTTAATGACACTGTCCAATGTCTCTGGACGACTGATATCGAAGCAGATGAGGACAGCGTCTGAGTCGGGATAAGCCAGGGGACGCACGTTGTCGTAGTAAGAAGAACCTGGGGACACAGATAGAAAGAAGTACACAACATGAGATTATGAAGCTTAACTAAGTCCCAACTGTGAATTATCCATTGTGTTATAAAAGAGGTTAAGTCATGTGTGAAGACTTATTATGAGATTTGAATTTGAAGAAAAACAGTGAACAGTGAACATCTGTCTCCTGATTTGAATTTCTGTTTTATTTTATATAAACTTTGTACTAGTTTCCTGACAACTCTTACTGTTTATCCAAGCACAGAAAGTTATGTTTTCAACCTCTTTTTCACAGATCTGACCTGGAACTTGGCCTCTTGGTGCTACCTGCTTGAGATAGTCAAGTTAAATGTCAAAAGAAACATCTTTGAAACCCCAAACACTCAGTGGTATTTTTTAAGTTAACTGCTGCCTTTTACCTTTTGTTCAGTAGAGACTGGCAATTCCAGGTCTGAAATCATCCAGATGATTCTAGTGAAGATTTATTGTGTATAACCATATGACATCACTAGGTGGAACAGAGTGGTTTCAATTTGAGAGAAGAACTCAGACTAAATATGCAGGGTTTGAATGAATGAATGTGAATGAAACAAATACAACTCCAGGTACTGGTCCCTACACTGAACAACTCCAGGTACATTTGTGATGAGGGAACAACAATATAGATCAGAAAATAGCCTAATGGAAGCTGTTTAAAGCCTCAAAAACAGCTCTACAGACTGCACTGCAACAAACTAAAGACCACATTTCACTCCATAATAGACTCTAAGGTCCAAACTGCAGTTAAATATATTTCCCTTTCCCTCTTTCCTCTCTTTTCTCTCCTGTCCTTGTTTAGCATCTGATCTTTTATTCCGGGGCATGCACGCTTCTTCTTCTGCACCTTGATCACATCTGAAGGCTCAGAGCAGAGTGGCGCCTGCTGGTTTCACAGGCCTGCTGCTCACATGGCTGCGCTCTCATTAGACTCTTGTAAAAATCACTCTGGTTTTTAAGAAATGCTGCGGATTTGGGAACCGTGTCTCGTCCACCGCACAGGAAGAGCCACTGACAGGAAGTAACTATTTAACTGGAATATGGCTGCACAGATTTTTGATCTGGCATATTAGGATTTGGGGTAATTAGGACCATTGCCACAATGTAAAACAAAATCATATTTGTAAAAGATAAAAACTACACACATTGATATACATTACAGAGTGACATTTTGGAATACTGAACTAGTTGACATAGTAGCAGTAGTAGTAGCGTTATTGCAGCAGTCGTAGAGCAGTAAAAGTACTACTAGCATTAGTGGCAGTGGTAGCAGTAGTACTCTTAGTAGTATCAAGAGTAGAACCCCCACCCCCTTCACAAAAAATGTTTGGTAAACAACAGATAATTATCAAAATAATCTATTTGAGTAGTTTTAAGTATAGCTAGGTTAGTATTAGTATGTAGTATTGATGTAGTTTAGCAGCAAGCAGTAGTAGCAGCTAGCAGTAGTTGTAGCAGTAGTTGTAGTAGTAGTTGTAGTAGTAGTTGAAGCAGTAGTTGTAGCAGTAGTTGTAGCAGTAGAGTCTGGCTTTGAATTGTACTGTGGGCATAGTGCCATAACTAGGACTATTATCTTGTAGTAGTGGTGGGAAGTATTAGTGCTGACAATAAATAGTCGTATCTGTAGCTGAAGTACTAACAGTGTAAAATAGAACACTTACATTCAGAGCTGTTTTCACTTAAATTTTAACATAATTATTTCTTCGTAAAAATGCTTTTGGTCTTGATCTGAGCCCTGTTTCTCAGCAGCCTGTGCCCGCCTCCTCACAAAGGTCTAACCAGGCAGCTGAAGCACCACATGTCTCTGTAAACTCAACTCAATGGACTCTGCACAAAAGCTCAGCTCCGTCTTCTTCTTCTGCATGTTCCTTTGTCAGAGAAGCAAAGGAAAAGTGACAATAGACCCCCTGCACAGCCCCACGCTCCAGTCTCTCAGCTGCTCTTTATCAATGACTTTCCTTTTCCATTGTGAAGTAACAGCAGATCAAGACAGATGTGTTTAGAGACTCAAGGTTGGTTTTTGCACTTAATAGTATTTATAGCAATGAAAGATACAATAATATTAGACATTCTACACCTACAACAATAGTAGGTATATATTATAATATTCCAACCAGAGTTCAGTAAAAATACAATGCAAAGTAGACCGCAATACAATAGACAATACAAAACAATATATGAAACTTTCAAGTATTTATTTTTGTATTTGTAAATAAGACAAATACACTAAACAAATGCAATATAAAGGTATCAATTATTCGATCAATTACACGTTTTTATTAGCCTATACTCAAAAATACCTAGAAAAAAAACATCTCTCTACAGATCTGACCATTAACTTGGTCTGGTAATGTCTGGTATCTGCTTGTCTCTATGGCGATTAATAAGTTGAATGCTATACTGTGGGACATTCTATGTAATAGCAATAACATTTCCATTGAGACAAGGTGACATACCCTCCAGAATAAAAGTTCCACAGTGCACCTTTAACTATATTGTCCTTGATAACAGTGTACTAATGTTGCTATTTAAATTATCACCATATTATTCAGACTATAAGGCGCACTGGATTATAAGGCACATTAAGCAAAACAAACAGACAACACTTGAGACTTGAGACTTTTTTATTTCCTACGAGGAGGACTCAAATATAGATTGAGTAAAGTGTTTGTTTTACAGAAACTTAAAACCACATGGCTCATTTGCATATACTATAAGCGATAAAAAACAAACAAAAAACAGCTCACTCCTTGTACGCTGATGTGGTCAGCTTTTGTCAGACTAAATGACACGGCATAGTGAAATATATGTGAAAATCAGTTCGAGGTCAGTAAGCACAACCAGAATTAATACGTAAGACGCACTGTTAACTTTTCAGAAAATTCTGGGATTTTACATGCACCTTATAGTCCGAAAAATATGGTATGTAATGTCATTTTATTGTGACTGTGACATCAACTACTTTTTTGGATTCTTTGCTTTGCGTTTTCTCCTCATTGAACAAAAGGCAGCTGCAAACCAAGATGATTGATGACTTTGAGTTTAAAGGTCCATTATGTAACTTTGGTGGTGAAGTGTCCACCACCTGCTTGTCTAATGGAAATGAATGTTCCACAGTATAGCATTACACATATCCACCGTTATCTAATTGCACATATTTTGATTAGTCTATACTCAAAAATACCTTTAAAAACATGTTTGGTGTCACCTCTCCACACCTTTAACTTGGTCTGGTGGCATCATCTGCTTGTCTCTCTGGTGACTACTGCCGAGAAAGTTCCACAGTATGGCATTAAACACAACATCCGCACTGCAGTTCTTTGAAGCTCCCAGTTTTTTTTTTATTTCAATAACACGACAATGTGACGTTTCGGGTCAAGCACTTCTTCAGACATGAAAGGTTAAGCCTCGCACCTGCTTGATACTCTATACAGGCCTCACATTGTGGTGTCGTTGAAATAAAAATTTGGGAGCTTCAAAGAACTAGTGTGGATCTCTTTCTTCCTTTTCACAGTTTTTGTTTTTGGACCCAACACGCAATTGCAATTTTTGTTGGATGTGCATGTCTTTATCTACCAGTATTAAACATAACTTCAACGCTGAGACAAGCAGGTGACAGACCCTCATAAAAGTTTCACAGTGCACCTTTAACCATAGTGTCTTTAATAACAGTGTACTAATGTTGCTGTTCAAATTATTATGTGATGTGATTTTATTGTGACTGCGACATCAGCTACTTTTTGGATTCGTTTTCTCCTCATTGAACAAAAGGCCGCTCTGAACCAAGATGATTGACGTCTCTGAGTTGTAGTTTAGTGCTGTTTATGACAAACTGTAGCTTGTAATTTAAACTTAAAAACAATATTTATACATCTCCACAGCCATCCACTCACGCAGCTCCTGCACTTCAGAGCGATGAAGAGGGGCGGAGAGGAGAGAGGGAGCTATGATAAGTACTTAGGTTCAAGAACATCACATCAAATATTAGGACTGAGTTACGCGAGCTGGGAAAACAATTATACTAATGTAGGAGTAGGCCAGGAGGGGTCAAGGAAATGATTTGAAGATTTAAGTAAAGTGGAAAAGGGTCAAAACACAGGGCAGATCAACGGAAAGAACAAGAGCGTAATAAAATGTAAAATAGGTGTTTAAAATATCACATTAAAATAACACATTAGGCTTGATTGATTGTAAGGTCAAACACAACAAAGAGTAGTTATAGACAAATGAGATTAATGCAACTGTGTTTTTTTTTGTTTTTTTTCACAAATTAGATTGGAAATTTGAGATTTGAGATGCATTTTCGGTTAACGAGGAGCCAGTTTTATCTTTGTCACCATGTTAATCCTCAATAATTCCCATTTAAATATCAAAATTACACTTTAAAGGGCACATATTACGCTATTTTCTGATTTATGTTATAATGTAGTTTCCTCATCACAAACAGGCCTGGAGTTGTGTTTTGTTTCATTCACACATTTAACGCACAAATCCTGCATGTTTATCCAGAGTTCTTCTCTAAGACAAGAAAACAACAACAACAACAAAATAAAACACTTGTGCTCCACTGTGTTTTTCCAACTCCATACACCTTCGCTAGAATCATTTGGATAATTTCAACCCATCTCTCTCCCATCTCTCCAAAAAAAAAGGTATAAGGTAGTCATTAACTTGAAAACTACCTCTTCAAAGCATCATAACATAGAACAGAGCATTTTTTGAGCTTTGAAAATGTAGACAGACTAATGATAAAGGGTTACACAAACATGTATGATAAAACAAAACACAACTCCTGGTATGTTTTAAAGGAAGCAACAGCATTATAACATCAATTTTGTGTAATATACGACTTTTAAAATGTAAACTATCTTTCTGTTAAAACAAAAATTGCCAATCTGGGACAAGCCTCAATGCTTGATAAAATCGTAATCAAGTTTTCTTGTTGTCAAATTGTTCACTTATGGATTAAATGAAAGGATGTAAGAGG